TGACAGATAGGGGTAATAGGGGTTGACAGATAGGGGTAATAGGGGTTGACAGATAGGGGTTGACAAAATAGGGATAATAGGGGTTGACAGATAGGGGTAATAGGGGTTGACAGATAGGGGTAATAGGGGTTGACAGATAGGGGTAATAGGGGTTGACAGATGTATAAGGACTGGTTGGCTGCAAGCCGTGTCAGTATGACAAATATGGACAAGACTGGGTGCGCACTAGGGGTATGTACAAACGCTCAGGTGCTTGCAAGCTCTACAAAGAAGAAAGCTTATATCAAATCTCCAGAGGATTGCAAGTGGGTATCAATCATTGAGACGATCTCCGCCACCGGCATCAAGCTTCAATGCCTAGTCATCTTCAAGGGCAAGCATCTACAATCCACTTGGTTCCCAGCCCAAGGCACGCCGAATTGGCTCTATACAACATCCAAGGACGGCTGGACGTCTAATTTGATTGGCTGCGAATGGTTACAGCGTATTTTCATACCAAATACTTCACCATCCTCCGGTGACTATTGCCTGCTCCTTCTTGATGGCCATGGCTCCCATACACCTATTGACTTCATGTGGCTCTGCAAGCTCAACAAGATACACCTCCTATACCTCCCAGCTCACGCCTCCCACCTGCTGCAACCTCTTGATCTTGCTCCTTTCTCTGTTCTGAAAACACACTATCACAACAAGATCCAAGCTCTCTCCACCCTTGATGACACAGCACCTGTTAAGAAGGAGCGCTTTGTTATATCATACAACAAGGCAAGAGAAGAAGCTCTATCCAATCGTGTAATAAGAGTTGGCTGGAGGGCTGCTGGCCTCTGTCTGTACAACCTGAGTCTAGTACTACTATCATCCCAAGTAACAGCACGCCCCTGTACTCCTCCACCCACCCAGGCCTCAGCAGCTGCCTCAAAATTGATATATGCTACACCTCGGAGCTCACAGGCTCTATATAAGGTCCAGCAACAGCTGTTGTTGTTGGAATCTCTCTCACAAAGTACGTGGCTAGTGCTTGGCAAGGCAGGCAAAGCTATTGCAGCAGCAAACACCAGAGCAGCCTGTAACGATGCAGGCCAGTAGGGAAGATGTCTGAAGTAAGTGTGAGTCCACTACGAGGCATATGGGAGTGCTGGGACATTGAGAACACTAGGATTGAATTCCCTACACCTATAGGTCTTGTACAAAAGGATACAGAAAAACTGCTCTATCTAACAACTGTGTCGGATTGATTAAATATACAGTTCGGAGGGGAATCGGAACTACCCATGTCTAGGTGACACAGAGGTAGTTAGCGACAGGAAGGAGAGCGGTGTGCTGAGTCCCGCAGGGACCACACGTTATTGGAGCGCTTTTGGTCGAAGGCGTTACACAGCCCAGCTAGAAGCTGAGAATCAACGGTTGAAACATCAACTAGATCATCACAAGATTACCCGTACAAGAAAGCGAGTTCAAGTTAATCCAAATGAGCGATTCAGCAACGTTGAGGCTATACAAGCTGCCATCAACTGAGCAGCAGCTCTACAGGCTCAACAAGCAGCTTCTTCAGCAAAGAGAGTAGCTCAAACAGTTGCAACAACTACAGCAACTCTTGCTTTTACCTCTATGTGTACACAATGGCAAATATGATTATCGTTGTTGAGAAAATTGCAACTCCGTACTATATGGCTGCTTTAGGTGGGGTGGCTGGAAACTATATGTGGCCGGAAAGTATATGGCCGAGCTTACCGCATGTGGTTTGAGAAAATGGTCGGCCGACCACCATCGTACCTTTCTTTGGGGAGTAAGCATATGGAACACTTACAGTACGATCAAAATCCTGACATTTGTACAGCCAGCCGTTCTTGGGTGAGATGTGCGCTGCGGCAGGAGCAGGTCCGATGCCTGACTTCTCCCAATTATGGCGAACAGTACTGATGTTAGGCAGGTACCAAAGCAAACCGATTGCCATAAAGCAGCACCGATGAGACCCTATATCAGGCGATGCTTCTTTGGTGCTGAGTACCGTAGTCGACCTTGAGATGTCCGTAACCGGCATTTCCACCAAGCCGTATACTGAGTACCGAGACGACCACGATAGACGCGCATACGAAGAGTCAAGTTTGGAGGCTGTGGAGGCAGTCAAGGGCAAAAGGGTTCAGATAGATCCATCATCCGATCGTCAACAAAGCGAAAGCTAATATTCGCTGGCCAACTAGCCAGCACCTCTGGCATGAGCATTGCGATGTTCGCGCCAAAAGCACTGAAAAGCATGACAGTTGACATCTCTCTTGCTCTCACAGATGACCTGAAAAACGTGCCTCGGTCCTATGGTGACACCGTCCGGGACCATGGGCCAGTGACGGGTTTTCAGAGCGGCGCAACAGTCGCTGGCAAGACCTTTGCGTGGGGCTTCATTGATGGCCTCAGTGACGTTGTCAAGCCGTACACCAAACTCATAAGAGCATTGCTGAAGCAAGGCATGCAGAAGGAATGTGGCTTATCGAACAAGGTAGGTATGGTGCCGATGAAGTAGCGTCCATTACTTCGAGGTTTGAAGCGTTGAAGAAGAAGAAAACATGAAGGTATTGCTGTCCGTAACGGTGATTGTAGCTTCAGCAAAGTGAGGCGCTAGTCCTAGTTCTGGCTCCAATGATATCGTTCATTCGGGACCTGACTGCACCTCTCATCTAACTTAACGCATAGGCACCTACACTACAGTCTATCGAAGACCTTTTGTCGTAGGGAGTGAAGAAATCCACCGATTGCCATCTGTTTGCTAGCGGTCTGCTGCACTGATTGTCCAGCTCATTTGTTTAGCTCCGTTTGCTTCCCCACCCCTTCACTGCTATTCCCTTCTACTATATTATCTTGATCAATTCCTGCCAATAGCTCTAGGGATCAATTAAAATCTAAACCCTTCAACAATCAGTCATCGGAACGGCTCAATCGTTAGCAGCATTCAATCGCTTGTATCCAACAAACAACCTCAATACGATCGCTTCTACCTCTTACTTCACAATGAAGCACTTCGCCATTCTTTCACTTCTTGCGGCTCTTGCCACCGCATCGCCCCTCGCGGTTGCTGAACCGGATCCTATTGGCGTTGCTGAATCCGAACTTGCAGCCCGACAGCTGCGTAGCACCTCGAATGAGCTGGGGACAGGCAGCAGCTCAGCGTGTCCCAGGGCTATCTTCATCTGGGCACGAGCTTCTACTGAACCAGGTAACATGGTAAGAGCAGCCTCTTGTTCGAGTTCGAGTTGACCGTACGAGTAACTTCCTCTAGGGTATCTCGGCTGGACCCATCGTTGCTCGAGAACTGAACGACGAGTATGGCGCCTCGCGCGTCTGGGTTCAAGGCGTTGGAGGGCCGTACGCCGCTGGTCTCGCTGAGAATGCATTGCCTGCCGGTACATCTGCAGCTGCCATCAGGGAAGCCCAACGTCTTTTCAACCTTGCCGCCAGCAAGTGCCATAGCACGTCCATCGTTGCCGGCGGCTACAGCCAGGGTACTGATGTCATAAGTAACGCTATTTCTGGACTCAGCGCTGCTGTCCAGAACTAGATTCAGGGTGTGGTACTTTTCGGCTACACCAAGAACCTACAGAACCTGGGAAGAATTCCTGTCTTCCCTACTACAGTGAGTGGACAGAAGTCTGTTCGCGCTAAAAGCTTGGGCCGCAATCTTGACTTTTGAGTGAATATTCACACCTCAATATCTCAATAACCACACGGTGAAAACTGAATCTGATTGCAGCAATTGAATGCTCTGAGTCTCAATATTTAGTCTGGTAACCCTGGGCTCGCTCACAGGCTCTGAGGCGCCTCGGCATTGAGTAGATGAGCTGCCTGATCAGTCTATCGGGAAGTGCTGCCCATGCCTCTTTCATACCCTCACAAAAG